GGGGATTTCTCCCAAAATTAGGGCTTTTGATTCCAAAATTCATTTTAATTCAATTAGTTTCAGTTAAGGCTAAAATAAATAAAATTGAACTACTCTTTCTATGTGGGACGATACTCGGACTTCTAAAGTCCACTTTATTACTTGTCACGACCCGTACACTTGCAGTAATTTAAATCGAAAGAATAATTTCGCGAACAAAAACCAATAAACCTTTGGCAAAGGACGGCGATTTTGTTCCCATTACATGCGTTGCATCTCCTGCCACTGTCATCGTTCCTTTCCCGAATGTTGTTAGTAGTAAATCCCATGGCGCATGATGCCTCAAGTGAGTTAGAGACCAACAAATCCACCTCAGTCTTCTATCATTTCCATTACATCACTTGGGCAGCCAGTCACTAGAAGTCTAGAAGTTGATCTTTTGATCATTTCCAGATCCATTGTCAACTTTTCATCTGTTTATACGTAGAAATGATGATCGGGAGTGAAGAAGATGAATTAGAGAACTTATGCTAGATTCTTGAACACACTTTCAACAAAGAAAAAGGAAGAAAAAGTTAAAATTTCACCAGATGGGGTCGACTGTTGACCACAATCAATATGCCAACTTCTCAGTAACGCATGACCGTTTAGATAATTGGTTAAACCTCTAACTGCAAAAAGAGAAAAAGTTTTGCAGTTTTGAGGCCAAGGAAATCAGCTACGATTGACCTGGATCCATGGCATCAGATCAGAACCTGTAACATGATAATCAAGCAGAAAAATCTGTGGGAGCGATGAACGTTGTTTGCAAATAAATTCTGTCTGGTACACTCTTTAATTATGAAGTTCGTCCCTGCTTTTGGATATAACAGGACAATTGCACCAGATTTACCCTTTAGAAATCAGTAGCCAAATCTCAAAGCACTTTCCAGTTAATGGATATATACAACGGCAAGGGGTGTTTTTCTTGTACTTGGACATTCTACTAATATAGATGGATATCATTACAACTGAAAATACATTGCGAATCAAACATTCAACTATCAAACATTCAGCTGTCTTCTCCATTTGCTCAACTCTCTAGAAGTCGCTTTAATTAGCTTTCTTGTATTCAAGACTATCTTGCCGATGAGGGAACCAATTTCATCTCTGGCATTAACAAGTTAAATGGGGGTTAGAAAAAATTTGCTGCATAAAATTTAAGATACAGAGTTCAAGTTTTAAACATTGCTAGTCCAATGTACATTTTGATAAATTAAGACGATCAAGGAATTATGACGGGGATAAACTAGAAAATATGGCAAACCATAATGCAGAACTGAGGAAAGTATGCAATAACCTATTCAATGTCAACATGACAAAAGTTCTCCGATGTAACTTTTTTTCACAGTTGCCAATGGTCGTTTTTGATCCTATATATACCAAGTTTTATTGGTAGAGTAGCAGAGGCTTATTTTACCAATGGAATAAGCTGTGCAGGAAATGGCAAGTTCTCACACTACACGTGCAAAGAACAAGAACTTGTGCCTAAAAGTTATGTCATCACCAGACAGCAACAAGTAGCCAGAACTCATTGCACAGGAAGAAACAGCACTTTACTGAGCCCAAGCAATCTTGTAATCTATATGGCTAAAGGCCAGAACTGCTTAATAAATTAACAGAATGTATATTGGGCAACTTACAAAAATAAGAATGGGAAAATTACATAAATCCAAGGGTTTAAACATCACAATTCAAACATCAGAGCTAGAGTTTCATTATGCAACAATCAGGTATTGATTTAATAATTTAAATATTAATTTCTTCCAATTCAATTTCCCCAACCCTAATTTCATGTTTTGTTTTCTCTCTCTACCATCTCCATACTCTGCCTTCTCTCGATCATGAAACACCATTGTCGCCACCGTCGACGACGATTCACAATGACGTCGGCGATCACGATGGAGGCGACGCTCAAAAGCATCCTCACCGATGGCTATTCTATTGGTTCTCTCTCTCTCTCTTCTCCTCTGCTTCGTGACCACAAATAGGGTTATAGTCGATCTAGGTAGGTTACAACTTACAGGCGGTAGTGGTGGATTTGATCGGTGGTGGTTTGTGCGCTTGTGCGGTGGTGTTGCTATTTGCAGTTTGGTGACGGTGGTGTTGCAAAAATGGTGGTGGCGGCGGCGATCTTCAACTATGAATTTGATTTTTGTAGTGGGTGTGGAGCAGTTTTGGATTTATAACCATTTGTGACCTATAGTTATGACTCATGACCTATAATTTTTTAGATTTGTGACCAATGACATAAACTTTGACCTATAAAATTGATGGATAAATTGTGATCCGTGACCACGAAATAATCCGTGACCTATCAAAGTTTTGATTCGTGACCTCGAAATAATTTGTGCAATTAATTTGAAGATATGTGCCAAGAAATAAATCTGTAACCTATAAATGTGTACACTTGATCATTAATTGTATAATTGTAATTTTATTATATTTGATTAATAAATATTTTTAATTAATTAGATAAAAACCCGATTTTTGCATTAGTTAAACTTTAAACATGTTTTTTGAATTGTGCATAGTTAATACATGGTTTATGAATTTTTCCTAATAAGAATGGTGTACATAATGCATTACACTCCCCTCACATGAAAATGGGGTCCTCGTACAATAAAATATTCATGGGCCTTTCTCCATATGAGGGGGTGTAATCTATTGTGCACACCTTATATTATACGCATAGAATAATCCTAAAATTAAGGGTCTTTTAAAAAATCCTATAAAAAGTTTTTTTGAAGTAAAAAATATTTTGTAAAATTAAAAAGTGACACAATGTCACTTTTTATAAAAATTGTGTCACTTTTAAAAATTTAGTATCACTTTTTTTATTAAAAAGTTACATACAATGTCACTTTTATTATAAAATGATATTTGTCACTAAAAAAAGTGATAGAAATTTCAAAAAGACGATTGAAAAAAGTGACACAGTGTTACTTTTTTTTTAAAAAAACGTGTGTAAAAATATCACTTTTAAAATTTTAATCACTTTTTATTAAAAAAATTACATACAATCACTTTTATTAGAAAGTTATGTTTGTTACAAAAAAAGTGATAGAAATTTCAAAAAGACAATTGAAAAAAAGTGATAAACACCAAAAAAAAAAAAGTGACAAAAATTCCAAAAAAAAAAAAAAATTGAAAAAAAGTGAAAAACACCAAAAAAAAAAAAGTGACAAAAATTCCAAAAAAAAAAAAAAATTGAAAATTTTATGTGATAAATTTTTACTTAACATGGACCAAAATCCACTTGATTTTATCCCTTCAGTTGCCTTTCTCTACTTTCATCCCACCACCAAGGCCTCCTCTTTACACTCAATTCTTAATTTCCTACCCACGTCCCGGTCCACGCCGCTCGACTCTACGGCTTCTCCATCATACGGTGTGGCCTCCTCAAAGGTAGTATCCCAAGCACTAAAGCAATCCAGGCTCTCAAACGCGTCCACGGAATCGACCAGAGAGATCTCCCACCCACATTCTCTCCCGCCTCATCAAATCCGACCTCATCGCTGCCTTCAAGGAGCTTCTGTGCCAAGACCACTACATTACAATGTTTGGCTAAATTCACTATGTGCTCATAGTAATTTTTTAATTAATATTTAGAGCCTGCTGCTAATTTGTTGTGTTCGATTTTCTTTCAATCCATAGTTTTCAAAGATCATTATTGGTACAGATTAAACATGATGGCGCAGCAAGAGAAGGAAGGAAGGTCAAAATTGAAGGAAAGTTTTTGGATAGAATAATGAAGGAGTGTGTATAATAAGAATCAAAAATTGCAGAAATTTTTAGGAGGAAACACTCCTTTAATTTAGACAAGACCAAGGAGAGAACATATCCCAAACCTCATATCTAGATTGTTGATTTTCTAATGCAATGGAATGTATTTCTTCACTATTAAACTAAAATTTGAAACTTTAGCGTATTTTTCAACTTTTTGACGAAAAGGAAGTAAAGAGCCTAATTTCCCCCATGAATATTCCAGTTGGAATACTTTTGGACAGGGCTGGGCAGGTAAGATTGTACTCGTGGAGAAATAAATATCCTAAAGGAAATAACAGGTTATATACGGATTTGATCCCTAAAGTTGCAACGAAGATCCTTAAATTTATTTAATTCTAAATTCGTCAATAAGATTTCTAAACAATTTCAATCTATCTAGTCACTCAATTAGTGAGATTAACGTCAAAATCCATGTGTACACTGTTAATGCTGCCCCTATGCCTGTGTACTAGCAAAACGTTTAATTCCATCACTATGCAAGCCTAAACCATGTCAAAATCCATTTTGCTTCCAATTGATCTTACGCCTAATTCAAAATCAACAATGCTACCGTATCCGAATGTTTTTGACATAATGGCTGACCGACACTCACAATGGGAAGGGACGTACTTCTTTTTTGGACTTTTTTATTCAAGCGAGACCCACGTGCTCTGAGAATATATCAACCATTATGTCAAAAAAAATCCTAGTAAAGTAGTTTAATTGATTCAAAATTTGATTTTGATCTCCAAATTGACCACCAAAATAGTCTACGGGGTTTCGTAGCAAGAGCAGTACATAGTGATATTATTGAATGTAGAATATACACGTAAAATTTTACATAAAGAGATATATATGTAGGAAGAAGATCTTGCAATGGCCTTGCTACTAGTATACTGAGGCTGTACAGGGGGCCCACCTGTACATCGGGATGTCAATTCCAATTGGTTTCGTAGCAAGAGCAGTACATAGTGATATTATTGAATGTAGAATATACACGTAAAATTTTACGTAAAGAGATATATATGTAGGAAGAAGATCTTGCAATGGCCTTGCTACTAGTATACTGAGGCTGTACAGGGGGCCCACCTGTACACCGGGATGTCAATTCCAATTGTATTGTGGGACTTCCTCGTGAGGGAATTTGTACATTAAGGTGTCAACCTGTGTACAAATAAAAAACCCATTTTGCAATTGAAAGTAGAATATACATCCTCACCAACCCCCGGCAACTGCCTAAGGGGCGTGTCACTAAGCAATTTTCATCAAAAGTCAGATTTTTCCCCCAAAGCCAAAGTGAGTGTTCTTCACCATATACACACACAAAAACTAACAGAGCCAACGCATAGATTTCCATTTCCTCTTGTGCCAAATCTGTAGCCGGGCAGGAAAATGGCCACTATGTCAGCCGCCGTCGCCCCCAATTCCCTTCTCCTCAAATCCACCAACCAAATTGGCGCCTTCCCCACTACCCTCTCTCGCTCATTTACCGAAGCCACCATTGTCCACAAGCGCATCACCTGCTCATCCACCACCCTCCAAACTCCGGCAACCGCCACCACTTCCACAGATCGCGTGTTTAACTTTGCTGCTGGTCCCGCCATCCTTCCTGAGAACGTCTTACTCAAGGCCCAATCGGAGCTCTACAACTGGCACGGATCTGGCATGTCTGTCATGGAGATGAGCCATCGCGGTAAAGAATTTCTCTCCATCATTCAGAAGGCCGAGTCAGATCTCCGGACCTTGCTAAACATTCCGGAGAATTACTACGTTCTCTTCCTCCAAGGTGGCGCCACCACCCAATTCGCCGCCGTCCCCCTCAATCTCTGCAACCCTGATGACCCCGTCGATTACATCGTCACGGGCTCGTGGGGAGACAAGGCCTTCAAAGAAGCCTCCAAGTACTGCAAGCCCAAGACCATTTGGAGCGGAAAATCAGAGAAATACGTCAATATCCCCAGCTTTGGCGCCCTTGAGCAAACACCTGAAGCCAAATATTTGCACATCTGCGGTAACGAAACCATTCATGGGGTCGAATTCAAGGATTATCCAGTTCCGACTAATGGAAATTCGTTGCTTGTAGCTGATATGTCATCCAATTTTTGCTCTAAACCAGTGGACGTGAGTAAATTTGGCTTGATCTACGCTGGAGCACAGAAAAATGTAGGTCCATCTGGGGTTACAATTGTGATAATAAGATCAGATTTGATTGGAAATGCACAGCCAGACACTCCTGTAATGCTGGATTACAAGATTCACGCCGAGAATAATTCACTTTACAATACGCCCCCTTGCTTCGGCATTTATATGTGTGGGCTCGTGTTCGAAGATCTCATTGCTCAGGGTGGATTGAGCGAGGTGGAGAAGAAGAATGTGAAGAAGGCACAGATTTTATATGACACCATTAACGGGAGCAAAGGGTTCTTTAGGTGTCCAGTGGAAACGAGTGTGAGGTCATTGATGAATGTGCCATTTACTTTGGCAAAGCCAGAGTTGGAAGCCGAGTTTGTGAAGGAAGCAGCCAAGGAGAAGATGGTGCAGTTGAAGGGGCATAGGTCGGTTGGTGGCATGAGAGCTTCAATATACAATGCTATGCCTTTGGCTGGGGTCGAGAAATTGGTCGCATTCATGAAGGATTTCCAGGCAAGGCACGATAAATAGGAATTGAATTGGACTGAATAATTCTATCTTGATGAGATTACTGTATGCTTGTTCGATTTTGCTTGCTATCTTGTTTGTTCCTCGTACTGTCCTTGTTACTATTGTTTGTTTCAAGTTCTTGTTTAGGCTGTGGCTTGTTAGGCATTTTTATGAACGTCCACTATGAAAGTGAATGTTGTCACTAGCTGAAGTTTACCAATGAAATAATAATTAGATGAGTTATCAAGTTCAATTGGTTCATAGTTTCCTTCCTGAGTATCGTGGTGTGTGCACGTGTTTGTGTTACATGTTTGTTTGAAGATTGTCCCGAAAGAATAGTGCTTGGGTGGATTCTCGAGTCTCATTCTAGGTGATAAAGGGCTTGATTGTGTCTCTCCTTTTAGTTATAGCTTCTGTTGCATCTTTTCTACGCCAACCGGCCTCCAAAGATTTGCCCTATACTAGATAGGAACCAACTTTACCAAAAATGAAGATGTGAAGAATTACAAGGACTCAATCAAGAATATATGTACTATTCATCCGCGCTCACCAACCTTGCCATTACCAACTAATACAGAAAAAGACGACTCGGGTTTTGCTATAGCAACAGGAGACCGAAACCCCACAAATAGGGCGGCGGGACCCTGTTATTTTAGCAAAACCCAAGACCACTCTGATTATATCTTTTTCAGGTCGAACTTCCGCATTTCAAATACTGAGTTTAGAAGTGGTTGGCCCTTTGAAAAGAGAAAAGGGAAAATTACTGATGATTTATAGCTTTAGGAAGGGGTTTAGTTTCGATTTATTTCAGTACATTTTTGCCAAGTACAAGGGCCATTAAATTTTAAAAAAAATGCATGGTCATGATTCCAAGAATGAATGGCAGGCTCCTAAACAAGTTTGTGGCACGAGAAATTACCTCAAAAGCAGTCTAAACTCGTACAAAATTCACAAACTTTGCTCGACATGGTCTAGAGGCCCTGGCTGATAACAAATGGTGTCAAATAATGCTTAGAGTGATTTCAAGCAGTGGTTACTTTATAATATTATGTGAACTACGCTTACATTATTATTCTAAAGTTGATATATAGAGGGGATAGGTTCTTTGTTCTTCTCATGCAGCGATGGTCTTATTGGCCAAATTCCTACATCTCGATCACTTCAATTTGTCAAGGAATCAACTCCCTGGATTCAAATTCCGGCAAGTCTGTCCTCGCTCAGGCTATAAAGTCTTCTCCATCGTTTTTATATAAAGTTGACATCTTTCATCAAAACCCTTAACGATAGCTCTGCAGGAATTAACGGTCTTCGTAGTGATAAAATCAGGAAATTCCAGCCTTGTTACTTTTATGTTTTGGTACATCTATAAAACGAAATATGATAGGTAACTATATGAAGTGATGAAGCATTAGCCAGCAAATTTAAACTAATAAATAAGAAGCTAAGTCAAAAGGTGAATGAGTCAGAAAGACAAAAATGGAGATTATGAGTTGCACACATGGAAAATTACATCACCCCGAGTTGGGTCAAGGAAACCTTGCACAAGTCTCTACCCAACTGATGTATCTCTGTAAACCTTTGCTGCTTGCTTCAAGAAACAAATGGGAGAGAGAGGGATATGATAAGCTGCGCGCACGAAAGACCCACCACTCAATGAACTCCCTATTTGCTGGCTCGTAGTACTTCTTACCGTTTGTTGAAAGAGTTCGGAGGAGAAATGAGGAGGATGTGATGTCAAGGTTCCGTAGATATATGGACAAATTTGTTCAGGCAATTGCGAATATGGAATTATCTCCAACTCCAAACAAGAGAACAAGAGATTGGAGGCTAATGACTCCTTTTAGCAGTGACTGAGTTGAAACGATACTACACTTTCATTTTCATATTTTGTATTATAATAAAGCTGAACACATTTGGATACAGACATATCATGTGTCGCCAAATTCTATTCACAAGCTATTATGTACTTATCTTCATTCCAAATTGATCAAAGGCTTTGGTTAAGATTCATTTACTTTTACGTCGGTTAGGCTGACTACTGTAGTGGCCCTTAGCCCATCTGCTTAAGGTTCGTGCCTTGTGCAGTAAATTATTGAGTCAGCTTAGCTTTTGGCATCAAAGTTGTAAAATGAGCCGAAAGTTTTGATTTGGCTCCTAAATGGTTAACAGACAAATGTTGCAATTAGCAAGAAAGAAAAGCCCAAACCTGTACAAGTAGAGAGATTCAGAATTCTACAGGAAACAAATGGCAGAACAATTTTATTTTCCCAGCTTTATTTCTTTCACCAGTTTCTAGCAAGCGAATCAGTGCCAGCGAAAATTGGGAATAAATCAACTGCAGTGAGCGAAATGTAAACAAAAAGTAGAGCAATTACAATTTCTTCGGATAAAAATAGACAGCAGGGGGATCTTTGGTGCTGCCGGACGACTGCTATAAAATAAAAAGTGAAGTAAAACATGGGTGGATTGCTGTCCATCAGTCTAGAGCTGCTACAACTGCATCAACAACTTGTTGAGTGGTGCTATCTCCACCCAGGTCTTTCGTCCTATATTTTCCCTCTGAGATAACATGTTTTACGGCAGTCTCTAAACGATCAGCAAATGATGGAAATTGGAGATGTCTCAGCATCATAGCCGAAGAGAGAAGAAGGGCAATTGGGTTTGCTCTCCTTTGCTCCACCAAGTTTGTGTTCCCCACATTCCCAGCCGAAGCACCTTGCTCAAAAACAGCATAGTCAGCCCCAGCATTCCCTGCAAAAACCATGTCCTTTGGTGTGACACAGAATTTCAACAGCATGTAAACATAATGGACCTTCATGAATACAACAGAATATTCATGGCATTTTTGGGCACCCAACACCTCTCCCCAACAACCCACCAAATGACAACAGAAGAAAGCTTTTAAAAGAAATGTGAATACTTTGGCACTGTGATAACAATAAAAGCTGACAAAAAAATGATGCCAATGCATGCAAGAGGGCGCTCTTTACAGCCACAAGGAAAGATAGGCATATATGTCTTCTTTTCATAGATGTACATCAACAGAGTTGTGAGAAAAAGTTTATTTATTTATTTGTAAAATAAAAGGCTTGCAAAGGTACAAAGACATGAAAGTGAATCCATTTATGAAGAATAGAACAATGAAATTGGAATGTCAGGTACAACTGAGTGTTTCAATCGGTGAGCCTCTAGAACCTTCCAATTAAACCTTGACCCATATCTGAACTGGTAGGGCAATTTTCTCTTGTTTTCCTTCCTTTTCATCATTTTCCAACTTCTTAAAGGTGTTGCAGCATGATGGAGGATTAGACTTGCCAAAGATGCCGAAAACCCAGAGAGTACTTGAGTCAATCTATCAAGCCAAGAGTTCAGTTTTGCAGTGATCTCAACTTTGAGCAGATAGCTACAATTAATTTATCACTATCCTTTCAGCTTTGCCCCAACACAAACCTAAAAATTGAAAAGCACATCCATTGTTCTAAAAGTAGTAAGGTTGCAATAATTTTCAATTCAACTTTCCAACACTCCACTCTTCAAGATCTTCGGATTTGGTACCAAACAAATTCTAGCCCATTCCCTTGTCCTCTGTCACACTTAAGTCCAAAAACCAAAGGTTAAGGCCCACTTGGTCCATGGTACTTGAGAGTCATAATAGTAATGAAACCCCATAAATCACACTTCACTGTGTACGCACAATGCATTGTGCAAGTAAATCATAAAGCAGTGTATTGTTTTCAAACGAGATCCCTGGATGATATGTTTATCATAACACCTGGTGGAAATGAGTGAGGACAAGGAAGAATATACTAAGGTTGTGTGCTTAATGGCAGACAATTGGTGCATCTGGTGGGGTCAGGGGTGGATTTAGGGGCCAGAGCCCCCAGCTAAATGTGGGGGAAAAAATTTCTTGTGGATTTTCATTTTTATATAGTAGACCAACCCAAAATATGATTTAGCCCACCACCCCAATACAATTTTCTATCTCTACCCCTGGACAAGGATTTTGCATAGAAACAGGAGACAGATACCTGATTTTTCAAAAAAGTAGGGAAAGGAGATGTCGACTTAAATTTTTTAAAAATTTTATATATTATATCTTTATTTTTATACTTTTTAATATAGTATACGTCACATTATCATATCGGATTCTTACCCGAGGATTGTCCATAAAGTATCCTTCAGTGTTAGAAATTTAAACATACTGAAAATTGTACACGACATGTGACTGATCAAATACATGTCATGGAGTGTCCAATGAGCGTATGTGTATGACACCACACTATACGTGTTGAACACGGATACATCACCTAGCAGAAGGGTCCATGCATCATAGGCAGGTTGGTAAGGACATTAGAGCAACAACCTATCCATTGTGTTAAAGGCTGCATGAACTCTGATTTACTTACGAATGGAGATAAAATTGCATTAGTAACTGATTACTCTTGGATGCTTTGCTCTCGATCTTTAGGTGTAGAGGACATGTCCTCTTTTATTTGTCCTCTTTATTTTTTACTATCAGAACATAAGAAAGAGAAAAAGCATGGTCCAAGAAATGAAAGAGATTCTTCCTATTGTATTCAACCAATTATATACATATTCTTCTGAAATTCAAGAAGGTCCCCCTAACACAACAGTACATTAGTGGAAAGGAAGAAAAAAGGACTAGGTACAAACTGTCTGGTAATGGCAGCACTAACTTTTCAAAAATACAACGTTCCTATTACATTCCGTAACCAATTGCAAATACATTGATGAAGAAGTCCAGGAAACACTCCACTATTCTATTTGCCTAGCAAATCAGAAGGGACAAAAACACTACTGTAAATAGAATGACAGTCCTAACCACAACCTCACAGTTATTAGTCTAGCATGAGTGAGCCTATAATCATTATTCGAAAGATATCATGCCATCTTTCTTTTGGCAGTAACGTCAATGTAAAGATATTTCTTTAGTTGTTGAGTGTCTCTTTAATTGATCAATCTGTGATATTCCAAATCTACACAACTAATGGAATCCAAATGGTTTCGGGATTGATAAGATGACTTTCAGTAGGCTAGAATCCATTAACTTGAGCAAAACTATATCTTGAATGTTTGATGATATCTCACATTTCTTTATTACATATTAAATGATAGCCTCAAAAAGATAATAGATTAAAGATACTTACAATTAATGAGACCCAGATATTCCCATTCAAAATATTAAAGAAATTGCAAGTGTGGACCAAATCTCAAAGAAAACAACAGATTGGCATTTGATATATCATATATCATATGCGATAGCTTAACAAGAATGTTAAGCTAAGTTGTCAGGAGCAGTTAATTCTAAATTGCCTAGCATCATTACAGTTCGTGGAAAAGCAATGGAAATATGTTCCATTACCTATCACAAAATGTGCCAGAGCAAGTGTAGCCTTTTTTATCCTACACAATTGCTGAATTCTGAAGACTCTAATCATTTGATGGGATGTACTAGATGATAAGAATTCCGCAATCTAAATAAAGGGAAGAATACCAACTTTCATGAAAAATATTGGTTTATACTTTCCCATTTCAAAGTTATATTCCTAGCAAAGATTAAATTTAGGAATTTAGAGTTCCAAATTATCCCCAGGTATCCATGAAATAATTTCATTAGGTTTCTATTTTCCAAAAAAAGATGGATATAGGTAGCAGACAGTTCAATGTAGGATCATTTAAACAACATTACCTCCAGGCATAACTCCAGTGCCACCAGCTATACCAGCAGCTGTATTTGCAACCAGATTGCCATAGAGATTTGGTGTCACCTAGGAAAAGATGCACGTGTGTTAGCAACAACAATTCTTTGTCTTTTAAATATAATCATGTAACAAAAAAATGGCAAAGAGAAGAAAGTTCAGTTGTAAATGATTGCCAGCAAAGTAATACAGAAGCAACATGGTAATGTTTCCAAGAGCACCTAAAACACCACTTGTAAGCAATCCATTACATCAGAATTTTTTCAACAAAATAAAATAGACACAGAGTCTGTCTTAAGATCATTAGAAAAATATCCATATCTCCTCCCAAACTATGCATTCTTTCTAAATACCAATATCCATGTACACTAGCAATATTTCAAACAAAATGAAACTAAAGACAAAAAGTTCAAGTTATATCTCCCCAAATACGCATTCTTTCGAAATTCCAACATGGCTTGCGTACAGAAGTATCTACTCATTTATATTGTTCCTTCCCCTCAAGAGCAAAGAGCACTCCAACTTCTTGAGTTCTTGATCTAACTTCAAATCCAATCTAGTCATTTTCTGTTCATTCTCCTTGTTACTATCATCACTTGTACAGCTAATAAATTCATAATTAAGTTTTTTGCTATCTCTACCCAAGTTTCTCTAGCACATATGCAAGTTCATGTACATATCTTAGGTGTTTGGTTCCACATGGACACCAGATGCATGATTCACTTTTTGGTGCATCAACAAACACTATAGGAGGCAACACTAGTGGGTAATAACCTCTGCCAAAAAACATTACCGTAAATAAATCATATCGTAAATATATGAATGTGTGCGCAAGTATTATCCTTATGCCATGCTCTTTTGAATGAAATTGATCTCTATACCCTTGTCAATTAAAGCAAGATACTCCTCTGTCCACAGAGGATATCAGGGTTTCTATTACGGGGNGTTAAGACTTAAGACTACTGTGATAGTTAAATTTTAATTAACCAACAATCACTGTAAATGTTCTTCTCAGGATTGACATTAAGCTGTCTAACCATTTGTATTCATGGCAACATTTTAAGGAAAGTCTAAAAAAGCACCAGCAAAAACAGAGAAAGATCCAAGTCATATACCATGACATCGAATTGCTCAGGCCTGGAAACCAGTTGCATGCAGCAGTTATCCACAATAATCTCATTGTACTTGATCCCAGGATATTTTGTGGCAACCTCTCGACAAGATTCTAAAAATAAACCATCGGCAAGCTTCATGATATTGGCTTTGTGCACAGCTGTCACTTTCTTTCTGCCGTTTAAATAAGCATACTCAAAAGCATATTTTGCAATGCGCTCAGAACAAAACTTTGTTATCACCTACAGAAGGCGCAACATAAAAAAATGAACTTCACAGCCAATGCACTATAGAACACATATGCCTTCACATTGTAAAGGAAACGAATGCATTAAGAAAGAGAATATAACATAAACATCGAGTAACAAGTAATGCCAAAACCTTCCCCTTTCTGATTATTCCATCAAGTCACAAATTCCAAAAACAGCCAAGTTCCAACCAATAGAATCTAGTTCACATGAGAGTTAACTATCACAACAGACATCAACATAAAACAAAGCTTAGGATATTTAGTTATTTCCATTAGAACGTATTTTCTGTCGCATATTTTTGCTTTAGCCCCTGCTTGAGCCCCATTTTTACCTTATTAAAACGAAAAATATGACCGTTACCCATCACATCAAGCCACAATTTTTTAATTTCTATCTCTCTCATTCTCATTCTCATTCTCATTCTCATTCTCATTCTCATTCTCATTCTCATTCTCATTCTCATTCTCATTCTCATTGTAATGTGGCTCAAACGGGCTCTTACATATTTGGACATATCATATGATCCTCTAAAATCCTCTTATCAACTTCAGTTTGGATCTCATATATAACAACTTTGCATTCATAATTGGTATAATCAATTCAAGTAATTTTTTCTATCTTCACAGAAGTAACCAGATAATGAAATCAACCCAAATTACACAAAAATCTTAGAAATCACAAACAATTTAAAAGTAGATTATTACCTTGAGGCTTTCGACAACACCGGGAACCACCTCATGCTCTAGTCCCGAGTATTCCCCTTCAGTATTCTCCCGAACAACTGCTATATCAACATTCTCATGGCGTGTAGGGAGCCCTGGTAGATTAAAGCAATTGACGAGGGAAGCGTAAAGATCAAGCTCTTTCCTGAGCTGCATATTAAGAGAGTTCACGCCACCGCCTACAGGGGTCATGAGGCCGCCCTTCAAGCACACCTTGTTCTTCCTGATGGAATCCAAAACTTCTTGGGGAACCTGCTTCATGTCGCCGTGTACCTCATACTTCTCGAAGTGAACCGGCGCGTGCATAGCCTCCATCACCTGTTCAACGGCGCCAGTCACCAAGGGCCCGATGCCATCACCTGGAATAAGGGTAACGGGTCGGGGCGCCCCATCTCCTGGACGGGGCATGTAGGTTACGGATCTTTGGGAGGATAGGAGATGAGAGGAATTCGGGTGGTGAGTGATAACCCGTTTTAGGATGGAGAAGGATCGATGGGACATCTTTCGGTTTTGTATGTGATCTGGGGTTGGATCCAAGGGTTGTCTGTCAAATGTCGGGTTGGGGTGGCGATTGAACTAGTCAGAACTTAGTAACCCACCATGAATTTGCAGTGCGCGTGGGAAAGAGAGAGAAGCAGTCGAGCAAAAAAGAGGCGAAACGTTGTTAAATGAATAGAAATTTCTTTAACATTTACTATTTCCCCTCTTGCGCGGCTTGTCACTAGGGTGCTTGGAGCGTAAAAATGCATTTTGAAATAATAATGTGTGGTTGAAAAATAAAGAAAATTTTTTAATTTAAAAGTAATATTATTTTAATGAATAATGTGTAATTAAAAAGAAGAGAAATAAAAATACATTTTGAAAAAAATGAGCACCAAACGGGACTTAAAACAAAGTTAAATTTGTCGTACTTATTTTCAATCAAATATTTTACATATAAATTCAAAAATTTTCCATATTATTTAACTACACATTTTTCAAAAATTCAATATTCTAAATATCTTTTTTCCAAAATAATGATCATCAAACAGGGACTTAATATTCTAACGAAGTAAACATAGGTGATAACAAATGTTAGGTTAATTGGTTATGAGATGGTTAATATTAATATAGACTGGTATTTCCATCTATTCATTTGAAATAAAAAAAAATGGAAGAAAGATCTGCAGACATATAGAAAGTTTCGCGATTCAGCGTACAATCTACGATTCTTAAGTATGAGAAGGATGATTTTATTTAAATTATAAGTAGCTTGTGTTGAGATGTAGTGAACTAATGTGGTAAAACAAACTCTTGGCTTCTCGATACTAACATAGAAATATGTTAAGAGTACTCGATTGATCATTTTATGCTCTGAATGAAATTGTTGTATGGGAATGTTGTGGCTAAACGGTGGAGTAGGTTTTCAACTAATGTTTTAGAAAGAAATGACAGATTGGTTAGTATTGTAGCAATATGATTTTCTATTTTGAATAAATGTAGTGAATTAGCAAAGTTTCATGCATTTTATGTTGTTCATTGAATTTGTTTCAAAACATTTGAGATATTTTATTGCAAGTTTTAAGTACAAAGATACATTTATGTAATTTTTTTGTTGAAATTGGTTAAGTATAAAGTCATGTTATAGTGACTTTCATATCAATTTCGACCAGATATTCGAACTTGATATGGTAGTCAACTCATCGAGTAAATGATCGTGGTATATTTGCAATCTCAAAACCAATTTCGAATAAATGAGAAATTAAGGTCCAAAACTGGAACGTAAAGATGTAAAATTAGCCTAGGTTTTGTCAAACTACATTGCTCACCTAGTGCTCGAATGATGACCAAGCAATAAGACTATTGCTACAGCAACAGTCGAGCAAGGGGTCTCTATTGCACCACTGGCGTCTCGAGTGATGCATCAACAGTAAGCTAACAACAAAATGGGTTGCGACCCTTCTTGAAGGCCTGTGAGTTTTGGGGGTATCTCTTCACCCACACCCTCTCCTCTTCTATAAATAAGACCTTGGGACATTTATTACAACATCCCAATGATATGCAATCATATCATAACATAAAAATTCATATTTCATTAGCCAAAATTCTACATAAAAATCCATTGTCATTTTGTGTAAGAAAGGAGTAGAAAAGCCATATTTTGGTTCATGGTTCATGTTTTAGATTGCTACAAACACAAGAAGGTAGTTGTTGCATCTTGGGAGTCATCATCCTTAAGCACCATTGTGGGACAAAATCGACTCAAGGACAAAGAGTTCAACTTTTGTCTCGACTTCGCATTCATTTCCTTGGTGTTACATTGTCCATTTTCAATGGCATTTAATATCATTTATGTGGTAATTATTCTTCTATTTCTTATCATTACTCTGTCCAATTTTGATAACGTTGTTAAGATTGATTTTAAATTCATCACTCAAATCCATTGGCAAAACTACATTGTCTTGTAAGTGTTTTTTTTTTTTTGTGGAATCATTTTCTCGTCGCTCCTCTTTCAAAGATTTGGGTTCGCTCAATTACCTTCTTGGGATTGATTGTTTATGTCTCAACACAAGTATCTTACTGTTTCGCGCGGGTAGTCGCTAACAATTAAAAAGGAATAAGACGATTGTGTAAGGAACAGACCTCTTGAGACGAAATCCCAAAAAGGGGTGTTTTATTAGCGATGATTTACAATTGGAACTAAACAGAATGTCTCCAAGGGGTGCAAGCACACAAGCACTAAAAGAAATGTTTAAATTTAAACTAAGAAATTGAAATTACATATTCTCTGTTTGAGAGTATTTGATTCGGGGTCATTTTCTCTGTGTCTTCTCTTCCTTTTATATTTCCTTGCTTATTTTTTCGTGGCAAACCACTTGAAAACTACTTGATTGCTATATAACTACCCACTTTCTTTATGGTGGCTAACTTGTCATGGAACTGTCGTCCCTAACTGTTGCCATTACTCTTTGTCGTTCAACCACCTTCAACTAGACTCCTTGAATCGTGGAATGTGATAAGATCACTCAATAACTGCTTCAATAACTACTATTCTGGATAACCATAATGTTTTATACTTGCTAAGATCTTGGGCGATTCAAAGGTTTAGGCGAGAACGGGATCATCGCTCTAGGCGACTGTAAGGTATTCTATTCGTTCAGATTCTGGGCGTCTTGCAAGCTTGGGCGATGATGTTACCGTGTTCGTGGGCTTCTACCGCATTCATCAATAATCCTATTTGGACTTTTATCCTAGATTCCCCAATTGGGCTTCACTCTTTGGACTATTTGATTTGGGCTGCACTTTTAGTGTATCAACAATTACCCCCCAATATGGCAGAATTAATACTAATTATTAATTTTTGCCATATTTACTTTGTATTTTCCAGCAATATTTGAAATTCTCAAGAATTTCAATCATTATTTCCTTCTACAGTCTGAAAAGGTGCAACGTTACAAACCCTTATAAACTAAAAGGACACGCCATTTCATCGCACCACTAAACCACGTCTCTATATTTCGCGCTTCTTCCTCGCTATTTTACTATTCATTTTCTTGCTTCTCTACTATGTTTCTCAAGCAAACCTTATCAAACCTGTACTTTGTTTCCAATGGCGACTTCATAAACTCAATCTGATGATTCTTTTAGTTTTGAAGATTTTCAGAAAATCCTTACTAGGCCATATGTAAATCCAAACTTCCTTGCACAAGCTAGTGTTGACCTCAATGAATTCTATTTGGGTCCATCGTTTAATAATGCCGAAGCCGTCGAACAAGTGGCAGTGGGCCAGCTGTTTCCTTGCACTCAAGATCCTCCGTTCCTGAACTCTCTGCCATTGAGGTCGATTCGCGAAAAAGGTATTCACACTTGACCCAAAGCCGATGTTATTTTTCGTAGATGGCATGCACGTCTTGTGAGTCATGGCCCCACCAAGGCGATTTTTGATCGTGCTAGGATTTCAAATTTATTAGAAATTTCTCTTCAACCCCCGATTTTTGACCTAGTGCTTTTTCCTATTGCTTTGAGTTTTTGGTCTTCTGAGTATAACACCTTCGTTTTCCCTCTTGGTCTCATGTCTATTACTTTAAGGAATGTTGGAGCCCTAGTAAATCTTCCGCCTTTGGGCGATACCATCTTTCCTGATATCTTGATTTCCAGTGTTGTCCCAAAATTTGACAAGAAATTTACTGAGTCCTATTCAAGCCTGCAAGGCTTTTATAATCACTCAAGCGCTGAACCTTCCTATGCTGAGCGTGTGGCCTTTCTTCAGATTTGACTCTGTAAATATATTCTTCGCGTGCCAAGTATAAAACCTTCTATGAGGTACTTACCCAAAGCGTATGAACTGGCGCGTGGTAGGCCTTTGAACTTATGTTGCTTCTTTTTAGCCACCCTTTATAGAGGCATGGCTTCCCTTCAATTTCAACTGAAGAATGGTGCATCTTCCACTGGCAGTGGCCCCCTTTGGTTCACTCAACTGTGGTTGAGAGCATATTTTCCACCACTTGGTGCTCCATCTATTTCCCTTCGTTCTGCTAGCTGCTATGGGCTAACCATTGATCCACTGACCCTGTAAATACGTCCAGTAGGGATATTTTTTCATTCTTTTATACCTTAAATTTGATTCCTTCTTTCTTTTCTTTTCCTGCTCACTTGATTCCAAATTATGTGCAACCTCCATCCACCCTAGACAGTGCGAGTGCCTCTCTACTTATTTGGATTCAATTTTTGATTGGAGGGAATTGTTCCACGATATCTTAACTGGAACCAATGCCAAAGCTAGGGTTGAAATATATGCTCCCCAATTTTTTGCTCGCCAACTTGGTTTTGGTCAAACTTGGCATGTTCCTCCTTGTTACTCCAAAAACTTGACAGACCGTTTTCACACTATTAATAAGGCAGAGGCACAAGCTATAGATGCTCACAACATTCTTTTGACGAGCAAATTTTCATTAGCCCCTTTCAATTCTAGCCGTGCTGTTCATCCTCTTTTTGAACAGCTTTGGCCATCAGTAACACGCCGATTGTTTGCAACTGATGCTGATCGTGCCTTTCATTTACTGGACCAGCCAGGCACTCCCTCTACTTCTCCCATTTTGGTCATCCCTGTGTCTATTAGGAATCCTTCCTCCCCTGCTCGCGCTAAACATTCTATCCATCCATCTGCTTCTCTACCTACCAAAGCTACTGCAGCTAAAAGTGCCTTAAGCCGCAAACGGTCAACTTCAGCATCTCCCACTTTGCAGGATGATGATGATGACGACGATGACGCTCCTCTCATCCTTATGAGAAAGGTAATTGAATTTGTTTATTCCTAAACATACTTTTCTATGTACTAATGGTTTACCTGAATTTTTCAGAAAAGTTTGACCTCTCCTTCAAAGGCTTTGGTTTTGGCAGCTCCTACTCCACCATCTTCTGCTGAAGCTGCTTCTTCCAAATCAGCTGATGAAGGGATTATACTTAAAGAGAAACCCTTAGTCCCGGAACCTTCATCACAGCCAATAAAAGGGCCACCTTCTTCCCAGGGTGCCGACCTCCCAAATATCGAACCAGAAGGTAATACATATTTTGATGTTTTACCTTTGCTTGTGCTACTGGTTTCTAATTCGTTACTTCTTGAATTATGCAAAGCCTCTCATGGGTCTGCCCACTGTGGCAGAGTCTTCTCGCCTAGATAAGGGGAAGTCCC